AAACTTACAATATATTCTAGGTCCCGTTGATTCCCATTTTTGTAAGAATGAGAATGAAAAATATAGTCGTTACAGAACTCACACAAGAGATAACAAGTCAAATATAATGACTTGATGTGATTGATAAAGATTATATTTTTCATTTTTATGACCAAAGAATGGAAATCAAAGGGGGGCTTAGATTTTAAATAATTAGTGTGAATCCTCTAACGAATATGACGTTAGACTAACCTAATAAAATCTATATATTTAAAACATATAGTACAAGCATTTATTAATAATAATTTTAATTTCCAAGCTTTTTTATTAGTACTTTATTTAATTAAAAAATTTTGACAGTAAACGAAATGGTTGAGGGTGGGCTATGACTTATTAGGGTTGTGACCGACCATTGAATATGAAATATAAGATACCTAACACCATTGGCCATTATTAAGTTGGCGGCTTAAATAAGTTTGATTTTCTTTAATTTCTTTCTTTTCTTGCTTTGAATTTCAATATGATATCCAAGTTGAAGTTTGGTTCGACTTCTTGTAGAATAGAATATGAAGTTTATAAAGAGTTTGAAGAATCAATGCATCTTGTCATGTTTTATGTTTATGTTCTTGAACACTGCTTCTTTGTGCTTATATTAAGGTGTCTATGCTTGCAAATTAATAAAAGAAATCAATTTAAATTCTTGTCAATTGATTTTATGTTTATTTGTTCACTATTTTTGGCTCAACTAAGATCTGCTAGAAATGGAGATACGAAATTTCAATCAATTTTCATCTCCATTTTAGATTGAAAATTCCGATCCTAAAGAGGTTTTGCATTTACAAACAAAGAATTTGGTGCTCAATATATTAGAATTGGTAGTATGGTCTGAGCGACATTGTTGATGGTAAATAATGGTTGACGATGGGGGGAAAGTGATTATTTTTGTGTGGTGTTTAGTTTTGAAAAAATTACATGCGTCACATGTTACATCAAGAATTACATACACTGTAACTCTTGGTGCGAGTTTCGCATAAATAAAATTACAAACATTATAAAAGTATTCTTTTTTAGTACAAATGTTTAACCTAATTAAGTTACTTTTTCAAAAAATTATAAATATTATAACAAAGATTATATACATGTAACAATATCAATATAGGGGAAATGATTTAACAGGCATCGATGCTTAGCTTATATTAAGAATCGATGACATGTCACAACAATTAATTGATAAATCATTATATTCATAGGACCTACTATTAACTTATTCACCAATCAAACGATATGCTTAACACAAACTGAGCATCGGTGCCCTTAGATAATTTTCTATCAACATAGAGTGTAAGTTGTAACAATTTTAAAAATTATATACATTATATACACGTAAAAACGAGATAAATAGTTGTACTTGCCGAATTTTTCATTAAACGACAGTTGAAGTTGTAATTTTGCAAAAATTAACAAAAATCAATATTTATCAATTCATCCCCAGATTTTATCCCTCTTTGTGTATATTGCCCTTGTAATTACGTGGGTCCATGAATCTAGAACCTTCTATGTTTTAGAATTGTCCTTGCTCTAGAATATCTACTATATTGAACTATCCTGTATTACTAAGTATTTAGAGGATATTAATAAATAGTTGATAGATACATTTATTACTATGGTTGGGAGCTATGTGGAAGAGTCAATGAAGCATTATAAATAAAAATGCTCTCTTATGTTCCAAAATAATTTAGAAATATATATCAAATATGTTCATTTCGTATCCTCTTTCGTCTCTCAAAGATTCTTCTGAAGTACTATTCAAACAAGTCTAGTTTCTAATATTCTTGTCTACAGAACCAATCTCGAACAAACACTAAATAATTAATATGTGATGATGTTCAAAAATGGATATGAGAATTACCAAATTCAAGGCATGGTAACAAAGTAATGTCAGCAATTTCTCAATTTGAAGAGAAGATAGTATTGTAACATTAATATGATACACACCTTTGGTATCATCAAACATCAGAATTCAAACTTTTTAAGGATGTTCGGTGTATTATGATAAAAAAAAGATTTATAATTGTGTTTGCTTGTATTTAATAATAATAATAATAATAATAATAATAATAATAAGCAATGCTACAAAAATAGGGGCAGCTAACAGAGTTTGAATCTGAGGGATACGTGTCATGCACTGATTGGACAATTTTAAAAAAAATTGACCAAATAGTTGCTGACACAGCACTTGTTTTCAAACCATATTGGCTGGTCTTGTCAGAGTAGCATAAGTCTTAGAAAAATATTATTAGTTAGTGAAATCAATTTCAATCCTTTGTACCATTAAGAAATTATTAAACTTTCCCCTACTTTTGGTATGGTATCGACTTTTTGAACTTGTGTCATAAAACTCATATCACAAGCCTAGTGGCATTGGGATTTGAACTCTATCAAACTTGTTCATTATGTCAAATCATTCGAGCTGAGATATATAAAGTAGATGTGAATGTAATGTACCTAAACATCTCCTTTTCGATACACAATGATGTTCAATCAAAACTTCAATTTTTAGGAGATCCACGGTTGAAATAAAATTGTCAACCATTAAGACTTGAGAGTTCCTCAAATTGATGCATATTCATGCCTAAGAGCTTTTCTAAGAGGACTATATTCTCTACCTATAAATGTTTCTTTGGACCATACTCAGTATTTAAGAATTTAGTCGAAATTGTACTCATTTGATTTTTAAATATCAAAAATCAAATGTTGATGTAGACTTCGAATGTGCTTGATTCTTCACTTCGTTTTTAGTGAAAGACCCCGTAGATTTATGTCTGTCCTTTCTTGTTGACTTAGGGTTTGATTTGCTCAACGACGTAAAGTTAACAATTTTTACAACAATCAGATGGGCAATCAACTTTCAACAACAACCATTTGATAAATTTATAAATAATATTGTTCCTTAGAGGCCTCACTCATGTATATAACAAGTAGGAGCTTTTGTGCCTGTAGTTCCTTGTAGCTATGATATGCTTTCAAAGAGAAATAAGCCGCCTCAAAAGATTTCTATTATACTCCATAAAAAAAAAAATAAAAAAATAATAATAATTAATAAATAAATAACAACAATAATAATAAAATGATTTATTTTAAACTTAAATAGCACTCATAATTTTATTTTTCTCTAATATTTAAAATTCATAATACTTGAGGGTCACACAACAAATTCTAAAAATTTCATTGAATATCCTGTCTGGCTCAAATGTATTAAAAATTCCAACTTTGCCAACTCATCTTATCCCAGTTAATTAAGGATTGTTATTTCTACAACTGAGTTCAAAAGGTTTAAAATCGGAGCCTCCCTCCTATCCATTACCCCTAAAAAACGAAGAAAAATGGAATTTTGATTTGTAAGATTATTATACTCTTACCTTTAATTTCAACTCCTAAAAAAAATATTTTACAGAAAAAATGTCAATCATTTCAATTAAATGTATTTAGTCATTTTCTTCATTAGAAGCTAGATGAGAAGAAACTCTCACAGCCGGTTCTGTAGTAGAAGTCCTTCCATTTCATTGTGACTGTCGATTGATCGAATAACAGGATAAATCCAAGAAAATGATGAAAGAATTGAAATAGAAGTTGGAAACCAAGAAATAAAAGAACAAAAGTCCTATGAACAAATATTTTGTTCATAGAAACGTCCGTAGAATTCTCTATGTATAAATCGAGTATGGAATTCTGTTTACCCACAATAACTTTTATTAGTATCCGTTTCCCTCAATTTCCTACTAGGATTGGAAATTCTGTATTTCGCACACTTATACAATTGGGAATCCTTGAGTTTCCGAAATAGTGTAAAAAGAAGTGCTTCGAGTTTCCTTTAATTCCAATGAAATTATAACAAAAAATATATATCCATAATCCTTTTCATACGAAAGGGGTTGTGAGCATGTTAAGCGTAGGTGGAGAAAAAAAAATGATAATCATGATAAATCTAATAAACTTTTCCGGATGGAAACACATTTGATGGATTTCTTTACTAGCGATCAAGTGCTACAACGATATAAGGTTACTATTCTAAACTTCAAGAAAAATTGAATAGAGACTTAATCGCTCGTTTGATTACAAAATGTGCCAGACGATTAAAACCGTATAAAAGAAGAACAATTGAATAAGCTGTATTTCGATCATCATGAACAAGCTACACAAGCCCATGTGGGGGAGACAATTCTTTGTCAATAATATTAATAGCTCGTTCGAGTGCAGCAATTTCAATATTTACAAGAGTGTCTCCAATCTGTTGTTCCCTATTCCATTGCCAGTGGCCGTAGAAGCATCCCATCATATCACAATTCCAGCATCATTTCAATAATATTTGTTCCCTTCAATCACTTCATGCGCTTATGCTCTAAGGATACACTGTGCACACAATTGAGATCAATGGCTCAACACGACATGACACGTTACACACAACTTAGGCCAATATGAGTCGAGCATTAGGGGTAGAAAAATGCAGGTTGTGGTTGGCCAGGGCCCATTATTCGTATTATTATTGTGTAGTAAATATGATCGAAAAGTCTTATGGAAGTTATGGTGACGACACTCGCTATGCAATCAAGAATGAATTCACTGTATACAATGAAATGAAAACTTGATAGCAAAAAGAAAAAGGTGCAAGTTACTTTTCCAAGATTCAGCATTTCCGGTTCTAAATGCTTTTTACTTGTTAATCACTAATTGCGGATTAAAAAAGGCATAAATCTTATTGGGAATTTGCTTTTCTATTCCTTTTCATTTTTTGCAAGCTCAAAGTTCAAAGGTCGGGCCAGAAATAAAGTAGCTTTTTGTTTCACAAACACATCCTCTTTTTCTTTCCTTTCCTCCCTTTGGTGCTATTTTTATTCTGATGCTGAAACCCGCCAACTCATTTTCTTAAATATAAATCTGAGTTGAGTTGACATATCGAACATATCACAAGAGTACTACACACAATCTTTGGAATAGTTCACAGTTACTAACTGCTGCTACAATGATACAAAGAAAAAATGCAATAAATAATAAAGTACGGTTTTACTAGACAACATGAACATTACAAGATTTCTATGAAAAATCTGCACTACATTCTACAATTTCAGTGGAAAAGCAAGAAATTTATGAACTCAAAGCTATCGAGGAACAATACAGATGCTTTCACACCAGTAACTCTTTAAGCACTTTGACATCATTTTTTTTTTCTCAATTCAGTGCCGATCTTTATACAGATGTATGCTCCAAAACAATATTTAGGAACTATTTACATTCGAACATAGAAAACAAAGTCATTATTGGATCCTAAAAGCAGCAATTAGTAACACGATTAGTATTGGAGAAACAAGAAAAATAATATATGGTAAGGTACTGCTCAATGCACCTTCAGCTACTTCATCCTCTTGCACTGGATAATTTGTTTTCTTTTCGACAAATGCTTCAAAAAATTTTTGATAACCGGTGCTTGCAGGAGAAAGTATTGAGCTTTTAACCTTCATCATTTCCATTGCCTGCCAAATGAAATTTGAATGTCATCGTGTAAATCATGTCACCCAGTGTCCCGACTAAGTTCCAATTTTGCATTGCGGCTAACAATTCTTTCAATCAAATTTATACATAATAAACAACCAGTCAACTACTGAATGTACCTGGAAGCCGAATATAAACTGTTTTGCCTTCTTGCTCACTTGAGGATTTGGGTGAGACTGAAGCTTCTCATACATCACACGAGCTTCATTGGGCCTGTCAGCTCAACTACATAACGGTTCAATTGTAGAATGACATAATATTTCTACTTAAGCATTAAAATCATAAAACTTCAATATTGCCATCCTAGAACTTCATAGCCAAGCATACACACAGATTCGGCAAATAATAAATCTTCTAAAATGAGTTGTAATGGTAATAGATAAAGTTTTAACAGAAGGGTGAAATTTAATGTTACTGACAGTTGATATTCTATCCAACGATTTGCATTGTTCCTTTTTTTTTTTTTTTTTAAGTACACATTCACAAGTTAAAAATCTACTTATTTTGACAAAAATAGTGTTTGGAAGAGTAATTCAGTTTTTGTTACGACAAAATTAGAATTGATTCAACTAATTATAAGTGGAGTTTTGTAGAGTTGAATATTCACAGATACAATGAAATATGAAGTTCAAAAGTCCTTCTAAAAAAGTACCATTAGAGCATGATTAAAACATAAAATTAATGAAAATATTCAATCCAAATGAATCATGACAATTACCACCATATAATGGTTGTGACCGTGGAACATTATTGGTGAATCAGTGCATTTATATAAAGAGCCTGACGGAATTTTAACGTTAACTAGAGAAAAATTTCTTGAACAAATAAAGAATCAAGTTCTAAACGTGTTATTCACATCAAAGTGCCAAAGAAGAGCACTTTCTGAAAAGGGAGAAGTATTATAAGAACACCTGCTGAGTGAGTCTTGACAGATAGACCACTGCAAAGCTGCTAATCCATGAAGCTCAGTCTGCAATAACAATATATATGACATTGAATACATTTAAGGAAGTTCTCCAAATATGCATTGAGATAATCTAGAAGTTCAATGAAAGCTTGATCAACATCTTAAGAAGAGCCATATGTCAGGGTTGTCCTATCAACTCTCTCTCTCTCGTGAATAAATGCAAGTCTTTAAATAAGCAGATATCTACCCTATAGCTTCATTCAAAACTTTCCGTAAGCATTACGCTTGGCAGCAGGTGTCATAACATAGTTATCTTGCAGAAGGAAACAACTAGAAAATGATGTCTTGCCTGTACTAGGTTATTCATCAAGTTGGCCATCTATGAAGTCTCAAAAATAGTTTTAGATAGTGTAGATGAATTTTAAATTTGTGCTGCCTTTTGGAGCAAAGTTTGTGAACAATGCAAAAATTTTAGACATAAATGTGGACTGACTCCAAATCAAAAGAAAAGGGAGGAAGAAAACCAAGGTTCTGTGGAAGATTGAAGAATTGATGAAGGCAAAGAATACTGTGGAAATCCCGAATGATTTGAAGGGGATTTGGATGAGATTGAGGTCATAATATAAGATCTGATATTTAGGCTGATTTTATGGGTTGAATTTTATGTTTCCATATTTTTGTTCTCTTTGTACGTGTTAAATAGGGATCCGAGTATGTAAAGAAAATATACAATCGAATGAAATAATTGATTCAACTTTCATATTCTCATTGTCTTCATGGTATCAGAGCTCGGATTACAATGAAAACCCTAGCAATCCATGGCCAACAGCCATGAGTCTACCCAGTCGGCAACTCAGGAAGGAGAAACAAAGATAATATCCTCCATGGGTTCGGCCGACGGGTTTGAAAATTCCTCAATTAATCTTACCGTAGAGAAGCTGAATGAGCTGCTTGCGAAACCTCCTCTGATGCCTGGGAGAAGAGAAAAATCTTTGAAACTGTAGCAATAATGGTTGAGGTATGGTGGTCCCTGCTCGGGGCTACTATTCCTGCTGTTATTGCTGATCTAGCTTTCCCACTGAAAAGGAAGCATGCAGAGAAGCGAAGAATCAAAAATGCTCGTGGCAGAGAAAAGAGCGCCAATGATATTTTTATGTGTGAGAGAGTTTGCACGTTAAAGAGAATGTTGAAGGTCGGCTCATTCTCCAAGGATTCAATCCCGGACACGTGTTACAGTTTGTGGCGTTTCTGAGCTTGATGCCTGGTATCAGCTATACGAGTTTCTGGTTGGGATCAACAGAGAGCTCGATGATGTGAAGAGCCGAATCTTGGGTCGTCGGCCATTACTGTTCATTCGAGAAATGATCTCTAAAGCTCGGCGTGAAGAGAGTAGAAGAAAGGCGACAATAACAGCTGGGCCTGAAGTTTTTGCCTTTGTAACTCATGGGTCTCCCACAGAATCTAGCCCAAGTCAGAATAAAATGTCATTTTTTGACCATTGCAAAAATTCGAGCCATTCTAAAGATACCTTGGGTCAGTCTTCTACTCCTATGCCATCGGGTTCCTTAGCCCACAAAGGTACTTTTTTAAGTGCGCTCAGTGCACTTCTCACCTTACTCCTTGGATTATTGACTCTGGTGCATCCAACCATATGACTGATGCCCATCATTTATTTTCCACATATTCACCTTGTTCTGGTAACTTGAAAGTAAAAATTGCATATGGTACTTTATCCCCAATAGCTAGCAAAGGTAGTATCCGTATCTATAAATTTCTTACTTTGAAGTCTATTCTTCATGTTCCTAATCTCTCATGCAATCTGTTGTCCATTAGTCAGCTAATCAAACAATCTCATTGTTCAGCTACGTTTTGTCTTCTCATTATGTCTTTCAGGACCTATCAACGGGAAAGACAATTGGCCGTTCTAAGGAATGCGACGGGCTATACTACTTTGATGACGCTCACGTGAGTAAATAGTATTGTCCTCCAATTTGTAATTCTGCATTTAGGGATAATGGCCTTTTGTTATGGTACAAACAAACGGGTCATCCTAGTTTTCAATATTTAAAGAAAAAGGCATTATTCACCAGAGTTCTTGCGTTCACACCCCCTAACAAAATGGGGTTGCTGAACCTAAAAACCGACATATTCTGGAATTAGCTCGTGCCCTACTGTTCACCTCTAACTTGAAAAATACTTTCTGGGGTGATGCAATCCTAACAGCCGCATTCCTCATCAATTGACTACCAGTTGGGTTCTCTCATTTGCCACCCCTCTCCAAAAATTCTAAGAGACTTTCCCTAATTCTCGGCTCAGTTTGTCTCTCCCACTTCGTGTTTTCAGGTCCACGGTGTTTGTCCACATTCACGCCTCCCAACGGAATAAGTTGGATCCTAAAGCTCTCAAATGTATCTTACTTGTCTACTCTCCCACTCATAAGGGGGTACAAATGTTATGAACCTATCTCACAGAAATTATATGTTAGTCTAGATGTCACATTCTTTGAGCATATTCCCTACTACTCGCTGCAAGGGGAGTCCAAGAGTGAAGCTCGACACTCAAACATGGACTTCGATGTTGCGATATTTGAATCTACCCCATACAATACACCCTCTCATTCCTTGTCCAACACAAAAGGAATCTTGAACTCAGGGGAAGATGTGGGAAAGCAAACAGACAGGGAGACACTTGTCTACTCAAGGAGACCAAAGTCAAAGCCAAATGAGACTCTCGCATTCGAAGAACCAAAAGAGTCAGAATCGGTGATAGCTCCGACTTCTCATGATCCAAATCCCAATCCTGGCTAGGTAACAAATCTTGATGACTTACCCATTGCTCTTAGAAAACAACCTCGTTCATGTACTCTCCATCCTATCTCAAAATTTGTATCTTATAATGCTCTTTCTGCTAAGTGTCGTGCTTTTACGTCTAACCTTGATAGAATCCGGATTCCTAAGAATATTCAAGAAGCCTTGGAGATTCCAGAATAGAGAAAAGCAGTGATGGAAAACTAAGGGCATTAGAAAAAAATGGTAATGGAAGAACTAAGGACATTAGAAAAAAATGGAACTTGGGAGGTGATGACTTTGCCAAAGGGGAAGAAAATAGTGGGCTGTAAGTGGGTGTTCACCGTGAAGTACAAGGCAGATGACACAGTAAAACGGTACAAAGCCCAATTAGTTGCAAAGGGGTTCACTTAGACATACGGTATTGACTATATCAAGACATTTGCACCAGTAGCAAAGCTAAATACTATATAGGCCCTCTTGTCTTTGGCAGCAAACCTGGATTGGCCAGTTTGATATTAAAAATGCTTTTCTAAATGGTGAGCTGGAAGAAGAAGTGTTCATGACGCTTCCGCCAGGATTTTGCAAGAAGGGAGAAGAAACCAGAGTATGTAAATTGAAGAAATCCCTGTATAGACTCAAACAATCACCAAGAGCGTGGCCTGATAGATTTGTAAAGGTGATAAAGAATCAAGGATACCAACAAGGACAGTCAGATCACACTATGTTCTTCAAACAATCCAATGACGGAAGGAGGACCATCCTAATCATGTATGTCGACGACATCATCCTCACTGGAGATAACACAGGAGAAGTGGAGAGATTGAAGGTCTTAGCTAAAGAGTTTGAGGTAAAAGACCTAGGTCAAATGCGATACTTTCTGGAAATGGAGGTCGCTAGATCAAGGAAGGGAATTAGTGTCTCCTAGAGAAAGTATGTACTCGATCTTTTGATTGAGACTGGTATGCTTGGTTGTAAGCCAAGCGATACTCCTGATCGAGGCAGGAAAAGGAACAGAAAACATTGGAAAGCTAGTGGATAAAGAAAGATATCAGAGACTAGGAGGTAGATTGATCTACCTCTCTCACACTAGACCTGACATTGCTTTCGCTGTAAGTGCGGTTAGTCAGCACATGCATTCACCAAAGGAGAGTCACCTGGAGGCAATATATAAGATTCTCAAATATTTGAAAGGCTCTCCAGGGCGAGGTCTATTCTTTAAGAAAGGAGACAGTAAGAAGGTAGAGATATATACAGATGCACATTGGGCA